ATGGAGACACACCCAGAGCCGCCACCTCCCGAGCCCGCGCCACCGCGCGCCCGGCCCCGAGACAGCGAGCCGAGGCGCCGCACCCGTTCCAAGAGCGCGCCCCGTGGGCCCCATGGCCTGGCGCCTGCTCCAGCTTCGCCGCCAGTACTGCAGCGCAGAGGCCGGGAGACCCAGCGTTCGGTGCGGTTGGAGGGGTCGCCGCACAAGGAGCCCTCGTACCCTGCGCTACGGGCTCTCGCCAATGAGCTGCACCCCATCAAGCTCCAGCCACAGCGTGGCGGCCCCGGACGCATCGCACCTCTATGCGCCACCCCAGGCCGCTGTGCACCACCTGAACCACCCACAGGACCCGTCCCCCATGTCCGCTGCCGTTTGGACATCAAGCCTGACGAGGCAGTGCTGCAGCACGCCGCCCGAAGCTCGCGATCTTGCGCGCCCAGCGAGGCGGCGCCTTGGGCTCGCACCGTCCCACAGTTCCATGGCCTCACAATTCCAGGCCCCCGCCATGTGGCCCTGTCACGCACTCCCACCCCTAGTGACTTGTACTGTACTGACCCCAGAGCAGTGTACTGCGACGGGCCATTGCCTGGGTCCCGGGACTATTTGGAGCACCGCAGCCAAACCTTTGCAACGCCCCCAGGTCCCACCCAATTTTTCTACACTGAGGAACCTGAGGGCTACACAGGCAGTTTTACCACAAGCCCAGGCCTTCCCTTTGATGGCTACTGCTCCAGGCCCTATTTGACCGAAGAAGCCCCCAGACCCAGTCCAAGGCGTGGGGGCGGCTACTATGCTGGGGAAGTACGCACCTTCCCGATCCAGGAGCCCCCCTCCCGTTCCTACTACGGGGAGGCTCCTCGAGCCTACGGAATGCCTTTCGTCCCCCGGTATGTCCCAGAAGAGTCCCGGGCACACCCCAGTGCCCGCACCTTCTACACAGAGGACTATGGGAGGTTCCGTGAACGCGACATAATGGCTCGCACTTACCCGCATCCCCGCAGCAGTCCAGCCTGGGCTGATTGGGGTCCGAGGCCTTACCGCACCCTTCAGGTGGTGCCTCCTCCCGCCCCTGGACCACTGTTGGCCTCGTGGCACGGTGGCACCGGCACAAGCCCGCCCCGGCTGGTGACCGATAGCCGCCACTACTCTCGATCCTGGGACAACATCCTGGCTCCTGGTCCTCGTCGTGAAGACCCTCTAGGACGCGGCCGCAGCTATGAGAACCTGCTGGGACGCGAGGTTCGGGATACACGGGTTTCATCCCCGGAAGGCCGGCGTCCACCAGTAGTAGTGAACCTATCCACCTCACCCAGACGCTATGCAGCACTGTCGCTGTCCGAGACGTCACTTACAGAAAAGGGCCGTGGTGGGGAAAGCCTGGGCCGCAACTGGTACATCACGCCGGAGATCACCATCACGGACAATGACCTGCGCTCAGTAGAGCGCCCGACTACCAGGGGCTGGGAACTACCTGGAGGCCGACAGCGGCAGCCAGCACCCAAGGTCCCTGAGGGCCCTGCCTCCAGCCGCCAGCGCAGCCTCGAGCAGCTGGACGAGCTCATCACGGACCTGGTCATTGACTCACGGCCACCAGGCCAGGCCCCAGAGCCTGCCACCGAAGGTTTAGGCCGCCAACTGCGCCGCCTGCTGGACTCACGGTCTGCGGGCCCTGGAGGAGCAACCGCGCTGGCTCCGTCGCGCTCACCCCCGGCCTCGGCTGGCAGCACTGAGGAGCCCACTGGCTCAGGGGAGGCAGCCGACGCTTCTCCGGAGCCCAGCGCCGACGAGGATGACTTGATGACCTGCTCCAACGCGCGCTGTCGGCGGACAGAGACCATGTTCAACGCCTGCCTCTACTTCAAGTCATGCCACAGCTGCTATACCTACTACTGCTCGCGGCTGTGCCGCCGAGAGGACTGGGATGCGCACAAAGCGCGTTGCGTGTATGGCCGCGTGGGCAGCGTGTGCCGCCACGTGCTGCAGTTCTGCCGCGACAGCAGCCCAGTGCATCGCGCCTTCTCCCGGATAGCGCGTGTCGGATTCCTGTCGCGCGGCCGTGGCGTGCTGTTCTTGGGCTTCCCAAGCCCGGGCTCTGCCGACAACTTCCTGCGCTTCGGCCTCGAAGGGCTACTGCTATCGCCCACCTACCTATCACTGCGTGAGCTGGCTACACATGCAGCGCCCCTGGGTAGCTATGCACGAGAGTTGGCGGCGGCCGGGAGGCTCTATGAGCCCGCGGAGTGCTTCCTGCTTAGTGTGTCGGTGGCCGTGGGCCCTGGAGCTGCACCCCCTGGAGCCGCTGCCCGTCCAGCGCCACGCAGCCCAGGCCCCACGGTGCGCAAGTTTGCCAAGGTGGCTCTGGCCGCCGGCAGCCCGACGCGGCCTCCTCCTGCGCGTGGTGGAGAGCCAGACATGGAAACGCTGATCCTAACGCCACCTCCAGGCACTGCGGGCCTGGACCAGGAGGGTGATGCTGGCCGGCGCGCACGTGAAGTGGCCTTCATCCACATCCAGCGTGAACTGCGACTGCGCGGCGTCTTCCTTCGCCATGAGTTCCCACGCGTCTATGAGCAGCTCTGCGAGTTCGTCGAGGCTAACCGGCGCTTCACACCCACCACCATCTATCCCATCGATCGGCGCACTGGCCGCCCCTTCATGTGCATGATCATGGCTGCTTCCGAGCCGCGAGCACTCGACTGGGTAGCCAGCGCCAATCTGCTAGATGACATCATGTGAGCTTTGGGACTATTAGGCCCAGGCTCTAACCAGAGCCCTGCCTACTCTACTCAGGCCCAGCCTGATCCATAAAGACTGCCCCCAGAATCTGGACCAGCTGGTTCAGCGCCCCGCTAAGTCCCCCGGAGCCTTCCTTAGTCTTCTACAAAATCTCTGCCCTGAGCTCCACCCACTCCAAACATCTAACTTTGCCTAGGAGCCCACCCCCGCCATACTCCCCGACGACCTGTTTCCCATCAGCTGCTTCTCTTCCTTCCTGTTTTCAACCAGACCACCCAGATCCTACCTACATCCTGGGCTCTCAAGTCAGCCAGGGGGAGGGGGCTCCCCAAGAGCCCGGTCCTCGCCCTCGGTGCTCCCCGCTGGGAGGTGGGGTGGGCCTGAGGACCGCTGGGCTCTGCCTTCTAGTGGAAGGTTACTACTACACACATCCCATGGGGACAAACTTGATATACTTCGTGGGTGCTTGCTATAGCTCGCCAACCCTGGATCCATTCCCTTTCCTCCTAGTCTAGCAGTTCATGTTGACCAAAGCCTAAAGTCCTTACTGTAAGCAAGCACTCCCCTAACCCTCCTCCCGTGTCTGGGGTGTGTCAGGTTTCAGAGGCCTGGTTCCTGTGCATCCCTAGGATGTTGAGGCAACGGGCAGGGCGGATGCTACACCCTAACAGTACTGCCTGTCCTGAGGTTCTCTCACCTCTGGTCACCTTGGTCTGGGCCCTTGCAGGACCAGTTAGAATACTGAGGGGTCTTTAGGCCAAGGCCAAGGCTCAAGCCATCCAGAGGGGAACCGGGGAAGGGGAAGCAGAGTGCAGATGGTGTGCTGGCCAGAGTTAAAATCTGGCTGGGTGAGGGTTTGAGCTCATCCACACCTACTCAACAAGATGGCTCTTAAAAAATCCACCTTCCAGAGAAGATGGAAGCGCAGGCCTTAATCTCCCAGGGAGGTGGGAAGTGTGTGCTGATGAATTAGCAGGGGACCCTTCATAGAGCAACACTTACCTGCCGACTGATTTGGGAATAAGGAACAGGGGCTGTCCCTAACTAGGGACTGGTTGGGGTGCAGAGTAGTGAGCCACCCGGTGTGGGAGCCTATAGGGAGCCGGTGCTGAGGCTTAACATGAGTCCAACCTATGCACAAAAGTGCCGCGTACTCGCCCTGGCTGAACTCCAAGCTGAGAGTAGAAGCCAAAGCCTGATGTGTAATGGAGACTGTAAGCCTAGGCAGCCCTGGGCCCCTTGTCGGACCTCTGCAGCCTAACTGCACTCGGATCTGAGCCCAGGGCTCCGTGGAGGGTGTAACCCAGAGAGGCTTGAGGCCAGAAGCTGGACAAGTACTCTCTAGAACCCCGAAGCCCCTTCTTAGGTAAGGGAGGTCCAGCGCGAGAGCCTGGGACAACTCCCTGTGCGCGCAGTGTGCGCATGCGTCACTACCCCCCACCCCTTACCCTGCTCTGTGTCCCCGGAACAGCCCAGAGCTCCCACCTTCGCCTGTGTCTTAGCACCTGCCCCATGCCGCCCTTGCAACACTTGCTGCCGCACCGCCTGCCGCCCTCCCCAGGGGCTCCACATTCCTTCCTGCGGCAGGCTGGTAAGAACGCCCCTGGCAAGAATTCGCCCATTTCCAAAGGGCAAATGCTTTCAAACCAAGTAAAATAGAACTTGAATGTAGCTGCTGCTAACTCGGTGGTGGTGGTGGTGGTGGTGGTGGTGGTGGTGGTGGTGGTGGTGGTGGTGGTGGTGGTGGTGGTGTGGTGGTGTGGTGGTGGTGGTGCTGAACGTCTGGGGCGTAGAAGCTTGGCAACGGGAAACCTTGGACGTGAGGTTATTGTGGAGGGGGAAGCCGGACGGGAGAGAGGTCCTCCGGCTTACGGATGTTGGGGAAAAGAAGACTTCTGATTTAATGGTTTATGCTAGGAAACTGGAGCCCTAGGACTCAGGAGTGGAACCGGGATGCGTCAGTGCATCCTCTTTTGCTGCCCCACCTCCAGCAACTTGACTTACAGCATCACTGATTTCCCTAGATCGCAGCTCCTTTAACAGTGACTCAAGATCTCAAAGCTGCAAAGAACTGGGTTGCAATTGGCTAGTCCGTGCCTCAGAACAGAAGTACAACTGGCTGAGGCTCTGGGCCTCGGGAAACATCCCCTCACGGGATTGGCCGGGGCTGCCAAAGGGCCCGCCTCCCACACGCTAAGGCCTCGGTCGGGCTGGGAAAGGGGTTCTGGGGTCCTGAGGCCAAGCGCTCCGGGGAACATGGCGGCGGACCTCACTCAGATTCCTGATGTGGACATAGACTCAGATGGCGTCTTCAAGTACGTGCTGATTCGAGTCCACTTAGCATCGCCCTCCGAGGATCCGACGAAGGAGTGCAAGGAAATCGTGCGTGGATACAAATGGGCAGAGTACCACGGTGAGGGCGGGGCCTCTGTGCCTGTGGGGTGGGACGAAGGGTAGGGGCGGGGCCTGAACCTTGCAGTTGCTGGTGGCGGAGCTGTGAATGCTGATGTACTGTGCCTTGTACTAACACTTAAGCCAGGCTGACCTAGAAAAGTCGGGGTTTGGGGCAGAAAGGAGTGCGAGACCGGACCCTTTTCAGTCCCCTCTCCCTCTTCGAAAGTATCTTCCGTCCATCCTTGTGCCTGCGGGAGGGCGGGGCTCATCTCCACTGGGAAAAAGACCATCAAGACCTGGAGCTTCAAACCCCTATATCCAGCCCTAGAATCCATTATGGGGCCAACAATGGCGACTAGGGCATATCCTAAGGCCCCTCTCCCCACTCCAGCGGATATTTATGACAAAGTGTCAGGCGAGCTGCAAAAGAATGGCTATGATTGTGAGTGCCTAGGCGGCGGACGCATCTCCCACCAAAGCCAGGACAGGAAGATACACGTGTATGGCTACTCTATGGTGAGCTCCGGTCCCCAGTCCCTAGGCCAGACTGACCTTGTGAGCGCGACTCCCCGACTTGCTACTCAGACCACCTCTGGGTCTCACAAGGTTGAAGCTACAGAACCCTTCAAGGCTGTGACTTCCTCTCTGCACATTTCCCATATGACATCAGGGTGGTTGGAAGCCACCTGCCTTGGGCTGTACTCCCTCATCGTAGAGCCTTATGGGTCTGTGTCCTGGCTCTTTGGGGGCGGGGAGGCTTGGGGCAGTCAGTGCTGGGGTCAGACTCAAAGCCCTGGCCATCTCCATCTCTCCGTAAAGACCACCCTGAAGCCTCAGGCATCACCTACCTAGCCCATTCAGTTCCCAGCACGGTTAGGATGGTAGGGTTTGGTTACTTTTCCCCTGCCTGCTATTAGTGTGGCTGCTGGGTAGACTCAGAAAGCAAAAGACCAGGCAGACTAGTGGTCATCTTCTCTCTAGGGTTATGGTCGTGCCCAGCACTCGGTTTCAACTGAGAAGATCAAAGCCAAGTATCCTGATTATGAGGTCACCTGGTCTGACGATGGCTACTGAGGCCCTGCTCCCCAGCAACTAAGTCAGGACTCTGCTCTTGCTGTGTCGTCTCCTGAAGGACTGGCCCCGTGCTTCCCTTTTGTACTTTTGGCAGCATGCCACCTGCCAGGCCTCGGAAGCCAGAACAGTCTGCTCCATAGGAATTAAAAGCTTTGATAAGCCTGCTAGTCCCTGACTTGTGTCTTAGCTTTGCTACCTTTGGGTTGCCCCAGGATATACCAGCTCCGCTCCAGGAGGCCCTGGGGACTGTTGGTGCATACTCAGCCCTTTGGATTCAGATAAGGGGCCCCTGAGTTGCTGCCATTTATGGCCTGATTGCTCCTCCATGAAGCTGCTATCCCCAAGGACATCTAGGAAGAGGCCCCACAAGATCTTGCACAAGAAATCAGTTCCTGGGGTGCCCACAGGTGCCCCCTTCCTGTAGTTCTAGGAATGCCAACAGGAAGGGGTCCTGGCACCACTCTCCTGGCTAGCTGATAGGCTGGCTGCATTGTGCATCTGTTTCAGTCCCAGCCCTGAATGGTCAGCCAACAGGGAAGGATCACTGTACCCACAACCCTTAAGACCCTGCGGCTGCACACTAACTGCCTGTGCCTACTCACTCAGGATCTCTGACCTCGTATGTGTCTTAGTCCCTGGGCCATTCACACCCCCTGAGCCTAAGTCTCTGTACCAATGCCACCTCACTGAACAGGGTAGGGACAAGCTTAATCCCTGCTCTAAGAAGTCCCAGTGCACAGTGTGCCATTATAGTGGGTACTAGGGAAAGCCAGGGCTGGGGGAATCCCTTACCACACACTTGGGCCAACCTTTGTTTAGCTCATGACGTCCCTGTAGACTGCAAGTAGACATTACTGAGATACTCTTGTATAGGCCAGCAGACAGGCTCAGGTGAGACAAGCCCCAAGGTCACAGTAAAATAAGTCGGAGGCAGAGTCTAGCTCCATGTAACAAGCGCTTCAAACCTCCGACATCCCTCCTGCCTCAACTGTGGGGAAATGAGCTTGCGTGTTCATCAAGACTTTCCTATCGTGGGCCACCTAGCACATGGCTGCTCGGGACAGGTTTTAAAGGCGAATAGGAGGCTAAAGATGGAGCTCGGTTGGTTGGAGTGCTTGCCTGGTATACACGAAATCCCCGTGTCCAGTCTGGAGTACTGTATAAGCTAAGTGTGGCAAAGATGTCTTTAATCTTAGTACTTGAGAAGTGGAGGCAGGGGGATCAGAAGTTATCCCCATAGTAAGTTCAGGGCAGCCTGGGCCACATGAGACCTTGTCACATACGCACGCGCACACACGCACACACACCAGAATAGTTGGCAGGGTGACACAGCTTGAGTTGCAGGTGGTATCCTGACATGGGACTTGTTCTGGTCCACAGAGGCAGGCTGTCGATGCTGGACTTCTCCTGCTCTGATCCCCTGAGCACAGAGTGGAGGAAGCCATGTGCAGCCCTCGAGTAGACTGCCCTGACATCTTTGGCCCGCACCAGGGCGGGGCTGAAGGTCCCATCTGAGAATCTTAGAGCCTTGCAAGTGGGGTCCCCAACCTCTCCACATTCCAATAGAAGCTTCCAGTGGGAAGGGCAGGGCAGGGCTGGGTGGATGCACAGGATGCCCATGACCTGACCTTTGGTCAGAAAGAGCCAAGCAGGGCCCCCTTCTAGAGCCACTTTTACAGCCGATGCTCGGCCTGTCATCACTGGATGGGACCCAGCCGAGGGGCTGCAGGTATAAAGGAGCTGAGCCCTTTCCACTGAGAGCTAAGTCAGCCTGTGAGGCCACTGTAGACTGATCACTGAGTAAAGGCTCCTCTAGGCTACACAGCCTCACTACCACCGGGACATCCTCCCTCCATCCTGGCCATGCACCTGCCTAGCCACCTCCTTTCAACTGTGGCCCTATTTATGGGTAAGTAAACTACTGTCTGGACCCAGTTGGTGTCAGGGCAGATACAGGAACTTGTCAGAAGCGGGTTGTCTACAATGAGGGCATCCAAGACAAGCCAATGGGCTTGATAGCCCATGTAAATCTTATCTCGCTGTCCTAGAGGAGAGGCCACGGGCCATCATAGGTGACCATCTACCCAGCTCTCTGAGAGCCTTTGCCTGCCACTTTCCCATAGTGGAACATGTGGAAGTTCCTTGGTCATATTCAGTGTGTCTTTGTTTGTTTTGTTTTGGTTTTTTGAGACAGGGTTTCTCTGTGTTACAATCCTAGCTGTCCTGGAACAAACTCTTGTAGACCAGGCTGGCCTCAAACTCACAGAGATCCGCCTGCCTCTGCCTCCCGAGTGCTGAGATTAAAGGCATGCGCCACCACCGCCCAGCTCAGTATGTCTTTTGGGGGAGTGGGGAGACCCTACTTACTGGAAACACTTCCAATTCCTAGTCATGTGGGCTTCTGTGCCTTCCATATGGGGTGTTTCTTGTTAAGAGCCCTTTCCCCTCCCTGGCATGCAGGGGCTCTGTGGGACTAGGAAGGGGAGTGCATTTTGTCTGCTTTTGATGTAGAGCCTCAGTGGCAGTTCTTAGCAGATGCCAGGTTCCTCTCTATGTGATCTCATAGGGCTTAACCCTGAAGTCAGTCGGGTCTGGGGTTTCTCTGTACATAGAATTTATGCTGCTCAAAATGGCCACTGATAGCTGGCAAGATATCAGTGGCTCAGAAGGTAAAGACACTTGCTGTCAAGCCTGATGGCGTTTGTGCAATCCCTGGGCCCCACATGGTGGAAGGAAATAAATGGTTCCCACCTCAGTTGTCCTCTGACCTCCACACCTGTTGCGTAGCACATACATGTACACACATACATACATATATGTCCCTTTGCCCTTCGTTCACTTGGTTCTTACTCTGCCAGCTGTGCAGTCCCTAGGCAAGACCTGGGTCCCCCGCCACTGCAGAAGTCCCGTCGAAGCTGTATGCAACTTTGTGTGTGACTGTGGAGACTGTTCAGATGAAGCCCAGTGTGGTGAGCTGGTCGGGTGGGAGTGGCAGGGAGTGGCGGTGTGAAGGCAGACCGCTGAGCGCTCATTCTCGTAGGTTTCCACGGTGCCTCGACCTCCCCGAGTAGCCCTTTCTCCTGCAGCTTCGAGCAGGACTCCTGTGGCTGGCGGGATATCAGCACCTCAGGCTACAGCTGGCTTCGAGACCGGGCAGGGGCAGTGCTGGGTGGTCCTGGGCCTCATTCTGACCACACACACGGCACTGACTTGGGTAACGCCTAGGGAATCCCTGTGCATGCACCCTGTTCTCCCAGCTTGGCTTCCTGTCTGGCCGCCTAACCTCTCACCTTGGGCCAGGCTGGTACATGGCTGTGGGAACCCACCATGGGAAGGAGGCGGCCACCGCGACTCTGCGCTCCCCTGTCATGCGTGAGGCAGCCCCTACCTGTGAACTGAGGCTCTGGTACCACACAGCTTCTCGAGGTGCGTGCTGTGGCTGGGCGAGGAAGGGGGGGCTACAGAAGCAGGAGGACGCTCCAGGTTGAGGGCTAGTGTACAGCTGGTGGGCGGGAGGGAGGCACCGGGGGTTGAAGACGCCCCAGGACCACTCAGAAACACTGCAGATGCTGCTGAGCTTCGACTGGAGCTGATTCATGGTGTGGAGACACTGACCCTGTGGCAGAGCTCAGGACCCTGGGGTCCTGGTTGGCAGCGGCTGGCAGTGAACACTGGCCGTGTCCAGGGTGACTTCAAAGTAAGCTGGGTGGTCTTCCAGGCTGGGGACCATGGGGAGGTTCTGGGCACTGGCCTAGGTCCTAAGGACCCTTTTCCTCTCTCCAGGTGACATTTTCTGCCACCCGAAATGCCACACACAGGGGTGCCGTGGCCTTGGATGACGTGGAGTTCCGGGACTGTGGGCTGCCTGGTAAGACTGTAGCTCACCCTGTCCAAATCTGGGAGACCCTCACTGCCCACCTCCCTGAGGCCACAGTGACCTAACTATCTTCCACCCCAGTGCCTCGGGCCAGCTGCCCCCTGGGACACCACCACTGCCAGAACAAGGCCTGTGTGGAGCCCCACCAGCTGTGTGACGGCGAAGACAACTGTGGGGACAGATCTGACGAAGACCCGCTCATCTGCAGTGAGGCTGGGGCCATCCTGGGCCGGGCAGGGTGAGGGAATACAGAATGAGACCGGGAGGCTGGACCTTGATCTCTGGGTCCTTCAAAAATCACTGGGGCTAGTCCAGGAAAACAGACATGGGCATAGCCATTCCAGATGGGACAGCCAGTGTCTCCCTGGAACCAGAGCCATCTGACGACATAAAGTCCTGCTCAGTGGCCGTGATAACACCTCGACCCCACTCCTTAGGCCACCACATGGCCACTGACTTTGAGACGGGCCTGGGACCATGGAACCAGTTGGAGAACTGGACCCGGAACTGCAGTGCTGGCAGCGTGGTGAGCCCTGCCTGGCCCCACCGAGATCACAGCCGGAACAGTGCATATGGTGAGGTCTCCAAGGGACCCTGGACATGGTCCTGTCTATCCATCTCTCTCCCAGTGACCCTGGCCCACATTTGCCCTCTCTCACAGGGTTCTTCCTAGTCTCTGAGGCCAAGCCTGGCACCGCTGCCATCCTCTTTAGCCCTGAGTTCCAAGCCTCAGTCCCCTACAACTGCTCGGTAAGATGGGTGTGCGAAACAATAAGACACACGTGGGGTTGCCCTTCCTGGTTGTTTAGATGCCAGAGGGCCCTGGCAGCCAGAGATGTCTTCTGTTTCAGCTCACCTTCTATTACTACCTGCATGGGTCTGAGGCCAGCCGCTTCCAGCTGTTCCTGCAGGCACAGGGGCTCAACGCCACCCAGGCTCCTGTCCTCCTGCAGAGCCACCGTGGAGAGCTGGGGACAGCCTGGGTCAGAGACCGGGTTGACATTCAGAGTGCCCACCCATTCCGAGTGAGGCTGGGATCGGGGATGGGATCCAGGGAACCCTGCTAGATCATGCACAGAACATGGCATGCCTTATCGTCACTCTTGAGGGCTGCTCAGTGGGAGAGGTTGAGTGTGTCTGGCAATTTATGAAGTACAGTACACGGCGCAGGAGTGTGGGGGAGGGGGGCGTATCAGAAAGAAGACAGGACAGAATAATGCTTGGCCCTCCCTGAGCCCTCCCTGTCCTCAGATCCTCCTAGCTGGGGAGACTGGTCCAGGAGGCATTGTGGGCTTGGATGACCTCATCATATCCAACTACTGCAGACTTGCTCCCGGTGATATGCCCAAGGCCCTCCCCTGGCCTGCCCAGGTAAAGCCAGGTCCTCAACCACTCCAGCCCGTCCCCAGTCCTACTCCAGGTGTGTCCACTCTGCAGTCACCATGCTCTGTCCCCAGACATCCATCAGGCTGGCCCAGAAAGCCTGCGAGCCAGGGCATCTCTCCTGTGGAGAGCTGTGTGTGCCCCCGGAGCAGCTTTGTGATTTCCAGCAGCAGTGCGCTGAGGGCGAGGATGAGTGGAAGTGTGGTGAGGCCGGGCAGAGCCTGGGTTCCGCGTGTGCAGGGGGCCCGGGCAGGCCAGGGATCTGGGCTTTGCTGCCTTGCGGAGCAGGCTACTGTTGTTGCAGGCACCACAGACTTTGAGTCCGCCTCTGCTGGGGGCTGGGAGGACATCAGTGTTGGAAAGCTGCAATGGCAACGGGTTGAAGTCCAGAACGGGAAGCCTGCCAGGGATGCCAACTGGGATGTTCCTGGTGAGGCCACTTTCCCACAGGAGCCCCCTCTTCGAGAGTGTGTGTAAGACAGGGATACCAGAGCAGTGAGGGGTACCTTGTTCTTCACACAGGGCACTTCCTGTCTCTGCAGAAGGCCTGGGGGCAGCTAAGATCTGAGGCCCGGGCTCTCACACCTGCCCTGGGCCCCTCTGGTCCTCACTGTGAACTCCACATGGCCTACTGTTTTCACAGTCATCCCCAAGGTACTACATGCCTTTTGGCCCCAGGAGCCACCTGCATGTGGACAGGGTGTGAGGATGACCCACCCACACAAACTCCCTTGGTCAGGTTTCTTGGCACTGATTGTGGTACAGAATGGCTTCCGGGAGCTGGTGTGGCAGGCCCCAAGCAGCAGCAGTGGGGGATGGACGGTGGAGAAGGTTCTTCTTGGAGCACGCCATCGACCATTCCAGGTGAGGACAGCAATCCAGGATGGGGAATCTGTAATGAGCCTGCCCCTAGCTTACAGTCCTTTCCCTCTACCTGCCCAAAGCTGGAGTTCGTCGGTCTGGTGGACTTGGATGGCCCTGGCCAGCAGAGGGCTGGGGTGGATAATGTGACCCTGAGAGACTGCGACCCCACAGTGACCACTAAGAGTGACCAAGGTCTCTCCTGCCCACCTCCCATCTCTACCCAGTCAATCTCTAATCCTTATCACAGCTGGGAATGGGGGCCAGGGGTGGGGTGCTGACCTCACCCTACCCCACTCCCAGAGGTCTCCTGTAACTTTGAACGGGACTCATGCAGCTGGCACACAGGCCACCTCACAGATGCCCACTGGCACCGTGTAAGAAGCCATGGCTCTGAGTATGACCACACCACTGGCCAAGGTAGGGGAGTTCCCGTGGTTCTCTGAGGCCTGGGAGGGGAGCGCAAACTGGAAGAGCATTTCTGCAGCTCAGCTTTCCATCCCTTGTAGGTTTCTTCATGTTCCTGGATCCCACAGACCCACCTGCTCGTGGACAAGGTGCTCTCTTGCTTACAAGACCCCAGGTGCCGCTTGCCCCCAAGGAATGTCTCAGCTTCTGGTACCATCTGTATGGGCCCCAGATTGGTGAGTCTGAGCTGTTAGACCCTCTGGATGTACCTGGTGCCCATTGCAGCCTGAGGCACCAAGAGTTGGGGTCTGTTCCCCTTTAAATTCCACTCCTCTTCAGGGACACTGCGCCTGGCCATGAGGAAGGATGGGGAGGAAGACACACTACTGTGGTCCAGGTTGGGCACCCATGGCAACCGCTGGCACCAGGCTTGGGTCACTCTTCACCACCAGCTAGAGGCCAGAACCCAGTACCAGGTGAGGGTGAGCTTGGCACTTGGTAGATGGTGTAGGGTTGGCCCCCGCCAATTACCACTCTCTACCCTCAGCTGCTGTTTGAAGGCCTCCGGGATGGGTACCATGGCACAATGGCCCTGGATGACATAGCTGTGCGGCCAGGTCCCTGCTGGGCCCCCAAGAGCTGTTCCTTTGAAGACTCTGACTGCGGCTTCTCTCCTGGGGGCTTAGGGCTGTGGAAGCTCCAGAGTAATGCCTCAGGCCATGCTCCTTGGGGTCCTTGGATAGACCATACCACAGAAACAGCCCAAGGTACTGCTCTGGCTGGGGTGGGGGTACAAAGGGCTGGCCAGGGGAAAGCAAGCTGATGCTGGTCTCCCTTCCCCCAGGGCACTACATGGTGGTGGACACCAGCCCAAATGTACTGCCCAAGGGTCATGTGGCCTCTCTGACCTCAGAGGAGCACCAGCCCCTGACCCAGCCTGCCTGCCTGACCTTCTGGTACCATTTTAGCCTTCATAACCCAGGTGAGGGGCTACAGAAAAGGGAAGGACCCGTCCACAACTAGGGAACCCCTAAAGCAGCTAACCTGGCTGGTTCTTGGTGGGTAGGCACCCTGAGGGTCCACGTGGAAGAGGGCACAAGGCGTCAGGAGCTCAGCATCAGTGCCCACGGTGGATTTGCCTGGCGTCTGGGCAGTGTGAATGTGCAGGCTGAGCAGGCCTGGAGGGTGAGTGCCTGGGCGGGGAGGGGGAGGGGGGGAGGGGGATGACCTTTGTCATCCTCAAGAGTTGCTAGACCAGCCTGCATGATCTGTGGCTCGGCACCCTGTAGGTAGTGTTTGAGGCTGTGGCCGCAGGTGTGGAGCGTTCCTACATGGCTCTGGATGACCTCCTCCTCCGAGATGGGCCCTGTGCTCAGCCAGGTGAGCAGCTTCCTGTGGCCTGACTAGTAGCATATCTATGGCAAAAACAATTCTCTGCGTCTTGCCCCCACCTGGCCCTGCCCCAGGCATGGTGATGCTTACTGGGGCAGCTCTGCTTACCTGTTAGTTCCTTGCAGGGTCCTGTGACTTTGAATCTGGCCTGTGTGGGTGGAGTCACCTGGCTTGGCCCAGCCTAGGTGGGTACAGCTGGGACTGGAGCAGCGGAGCCACCCCATCGCGCTACCCCAGACCCACAGTGGACCATACCCTGGGTACAGAGGCAGGTGCGCACTGGCTGTAGTGGGACCAGGGCTGTGTTCACTCAACGATCCTCAAGTTAGAGACCATCACGTCAAGTGAGCCAGCACATCCACCCTCTCATTTCCAGGCCACTTTTCTTTCTTTGAAACCAGCGTGCTCGGTCCTGGGGGCCAAGCAGCCTGGCTGCGCAGTGAGCCACTGCCAGCAACCACAGCCTCCTGCCTCCGCTTCTGGTACTACATGGGCTTTCCTGAGCATTTCTGTGAGTGGCTGGGTCCTGGGTGTAGGGGAACCGGGGCTCAGGTTAATCACAAAGGTGTCCTCCAGGAAGCTGAGCTGACCTGCCCTGGTCCCTGTTCTCAGATAAGGGCGAGTTGAAGGTGCTTTTGAGCAGTGCCCGAGGCCAGCTAGCTGTGTGGAGCCAGGGAGGGCGCTTGCGGCACCAGTGGATACGAGCCCAGATCCAAGTGTCCAGCTCTGAGGAGTTCCAGGTGAGTTCCCAGGGCAGCTGTCCTCCCTCCCTCTCTTCTGTCCCTGCAGATATTCATCAGCTTTCCTTTCTCCATCAGATTGTTTTTGAAGCCACTCTGGGTGGCCAGCCAGCTCTGGGGCCCATAGCCCTAGATGATGTGGAGTACTTGGCAGGACAGCACTGCCAGCAGCCTGCACCTAGCCAGGGTAAGCACTGGGCCCAGGATGGCTGAGAGGGCTGCAAGTACTGTGCCCAGCTCCAGGAAACCAGCTGAACCAGGACTGGGTTCTGTGCTCTCCTGCCTATGCCTCACAGAACCGTACCCACAAGGGGTGGGCTGTACACAAGGGCTGCACCAGCTTTCACTGTCTCCTGGGTGAGAACTGTCTCGAAGGAGCTGCCAGGCTAAGCTGGAGACGACAATGAGACCAGTGTTTGGCAGTCACTGGCTGCCGTCATGCTGAGAGGAAGAGGTGGAGCAGCTCTGCAGTATTGTGCTGACAGATGAATAAGGGCAAACCTGGAAGCCAGCAAGGGCTGGAGGCATTAGGCAGCCCAGGCTCATTCCTTGCCAGTAGTCCTGGAAACAGAACCCTGACACAAGGACTGGGAGCTGTCTGGAGAACCCAAGTACCCTCTCTGCCCTCAGGTGAAATGGCAGCAGCTGTGTCTGTGCCAGTTGCTGTTGGAGGGGCCCTCCTCTTCTTCGTGTTCCTGGTGCTCCTGGGCCTTGGGGGTTGGCGTTGGCTACAGAAGCGCTTCCCCTTTCATAGGAGTACAGATACAGCATCCTCTGGTTTTGACAATATCCTCTTCAATGCGGTAGGAACCCCCAGATGTGGGCAAGTGGGAGATTCTGTCTCCATGCTGGATGATGGGAAAGCAGTGGTGGGCTGGATTCGAGAAGAGGCACCTTGCCCTACCTGTTCAGGTCCAGGCTGTCTTTCAACGGCAGTTGTCCAATATTCCTCCTTCTTCCTAGGATCAAGTTACCCTCCCAGAATCCATCACCAGCAGCTCCCCAACCAGACAAGGCCTGGACCCTTGTGCCAACTCCCACAGCATTCAGCCCTCAGATGCCTAACCTCTTCTGTTTGGGCCTGGATGTACGGATTGGGTCATGCTGCTCTTCCTCCATCTGGTGACTTTGCCCTCTGGTGTGATCAAGGGTAGAGGGATCCCTGCACTGTGAATAAATGTTCTTCACCAGTGAGAGCAACCCAAGCTTTCAGACTGCATTTCATATACACTGTACTTGGCAGGCATGATATATCATGGCTGCCAGGGTTCAAGACCAGAGACAAAATTCAGGGAGTGGATGTGGAACCCCCTCATTGCTTTTGGTGCAGCTCAGAAATTACAGGATTCACCACCCTAGCCAGCAAGGAATGGGCTCTGCTTCTAACTTACCAGGTGATTTTGTGCCTTGAGGATGGGATCACCCCATAGATGCAGGAAAATGGGAGTGTAAGAGCAACTGGACATGGTGCCATGAAACTGGTATGGTGAGAAATGCCACCTCAGATAAAGGCCTGGATAGCCCTTGGGCTGCAAGTGGTGGCACTGAGGTCAGTGGGTATGGCCATCATGTCTTACAGCAGGATCGGACTAAAGACGTGAGAAGAGATCTGGGGCTGCCACCCTGGCCCAGGATCCTGGTGATGTGCTGGTGACACTCCTGTTCCAGGAACAGTTTCTGAAGTGCCATCTTCCACATAAAGCCTCAGCTGTGGCCTCACTGAGGACTGAGGGCCCTGAGGGAAGGGGCATGGACACCCACACCTCAGCAATCAGGAGCTCCTTTCCTGTCCAAGGAAACCTGTCCTTGCCATAGATACCGTTATGTTCCAAGCTAGGCTTCTGTCTGTCCAAAACCAAGCTCCATGGGAAAGAGGTGGTGGGACATGGTGCGAGCGGACATGGTACCACCCTTTATCTTCAGGTATCACAGAGCTGACTGATGCCCACTTCTCTGAGCAGATAGGGAAAGAACTTTCAAATTCCTCGGATCCCTGTGAGGTATCTACCACGAAGGATGCCTGCTTTTATCCCCTACAACATGATCTACAATGAAGAGAGAACTGGGGACTGCAGAATGCTAGGCTCTGCTTCTCTCCAGCAGAACACGGGTGATTAGAAGACAATCACCTCCTCCCAGGCACTACCTCCCAGGGAATTCTTTAACTCCCCACTGCAGCCAGCTGTCCAAGGGACAGAAGGTGCAAGTCCGCACCCCTGCTGAGGTCAGAAGGCAGGGAGGAAAAAGCCAACAGGCTATCACTTTGCAAGGTTTTGCTTTGTTTGACAGCAGGTATGGGTTGAGGGGGCACACAGGCCTGACCCCCGTGTTCCGTTTAACCATGTGAGGAGACCCACGGCAGTGCTGGTGGTCCTGGGGGACCAGCCAGAAGAGCTCAGCCGGAACCACTGGCTTCGAGGCTTTGTGTTCATTTCGCCTTCGGCCCCTTCTCGATAGGCTTCCCGATGTCCTTCCCCCGGAGCTTGAGGCCTGAAACAACGAGCCAGCAAGATGCTGACCACTCTGCAGCTTCCTGCACCTTCCCAACCTCCCTGCTCTGCCCAAGCTTCCCATCATCCACTTGCCTCACAAAGCCTCCACACAGGGTGGCTTTCACATCTGAGTGGGCCAGGCTGGCCATGGGGGCCCACTCCAGCAATCCCAGAGCTCAGGAGACTGAGGTAGGGGGTCTGGTGTGAGTCTGAGGCCAGTCTGAGCTACAGAGAGACTCTACATAAAAAATAAAATCTAAGCCAGACGTGGTGGTGCACGCCTTTAATGCGCATAGGAGGCAAAGGCAGGCAGATCTCTGTGAGTTCAAGGCCAGCCTTGTCTACATAGTTCCAGGACAGACAGAAAAAAATAAATAAGTAAAAATAACAAAATCTAAAGAGATAAGAAGACAAACATCTTGATGTCATGTCCCAGAAGAACTGGAACACTGCACTGGGCCTCATGGAGGTGCACTGCAGAGGTAAGCCATGTGCCATGTAGGCACCCTGAGAACAGTGTGTTCTGGCTGGATGTTAGCTATAGAAGGACCCAAGTCCCCATTTCCTCAGGGTTCTGGAGTCCCACCAAGCCTCAAACCTTTAGGCAGGATTCTAGTAGTTTGGCCTCAAGAAGACAGGAGCCTGCCATCTCAGCCCTCGCCACCCCTTACAGAAGGGCAATGCCTTGTCCAAGACTGCTAGGGAAGACACTCACCGATGGCTCTCTCAATTTTGCCCAAAACCTGGTTATTCGGAATGGCCCGTCCACTTTCATAGTCTGCGATGACTTGCGGCTTTTCATTGATTTTCTGAAGAAAAGATGCACCTTAGCCATACTAGCTCAGTAAGATGTGCTGCAGAATCCAGACGAGGTACCCACAGGCAGCCATCTTTGTTTGGGGTCCCTGGTACCCCCCATACAAACAAGTCTTGTACAAGAAAGAGCTACAGCTTCTCTGACCTGGCTTTCCCAGAGGATTTGGGGTGTGCTAGGGTAAGGTCCCAAAGCTGTGCAGTGAGCCCACCTTCCCTATACTGTCTAAGCACCTGTCACCTGTCCCCACTCTGCAGCTGCAAAAGCCTCACCGTGGCCAGGTCCTTCTGCGTCAGGCCCTTGCTCTGCCGGCCCCGCTGAATCACTTTGCCCACCTCCAGGGTCACCCTGTCGTGATGCAGCTCCTCTGTCTCCCGGTCTAGCTTGGCCGTGTTCTTAGTGATGGAATGCTGCTTGTTCTGGCCAGCAGCCCCTGGAGGCAATGTGAGCAGAACAGAGCAGAGTCAGTTTGCACGGAGCACAGGAGAAACCAGACTGACAGGGTCCCAGGCCCAGCTGACCTGGACTTCACGGACCTCAGAGCCCTGAATGTCAATCTTCCCACAGCAGTGAGAAGTTAGCAGTCCCTGCGGAGCTCACACCACCCAGAGCTACGCTGACTGGCAGGTCCCCAGGGCACTGCCCAACCATACCACCAGGCAAGCCGTCCCACAGCACATCCTGGCTTTGCGGGTGGAAACTTGAGTACCTACATTTCTTGGATGTCTCCACATCTTCTCCTCGTCTCTGAGCTGCTAAGATGGCCTAGAAAACCAGAAAGTGGTTTTCAATCAAAATGAGCCTTGGGGGAGTGTGGGGCACAATTCGGGCAGCTGTCTGCCAACTGCATGCTGCTCACGTTTAAAAGACTGATACATGCTGCTGGCTAAAACAATCCAAACTCATCACAACAGTGTCCCCTGCCCCCACTCTAGTCTTACTTTCCATGTTTGGTTGATCCACGGTCAGCTTTAGTTCCATAACATTAAATTCCATATAACAAACAATTCATAATTTTAAAATTTTGTATGTTCTGCAAGGTGTGATACGGTTTCATACCAGCCCCACTGTCTCACCTGAGACATAAGCCATGCCTCTGTCCACGTGTGTCCGTGCTATGCATGCTACCTGCCTCTTACTCATCTACCTGACCACCTCTTTGGTTAGCAGATAACCACCAGGGCATCAAAACAGACTTTATGGTCAAGAAATCATGATGAAGGAGCCTAATGCTACCTAACAATGGCTATGTGATTGACATCACTCTAGGCCACCATTTAGATACTGTATCATTTCACACCATCCCTAAAAGAAGGGTGAGTGTAGGATCCTAAGAGAGAAACCACATTTGCACAACTCTGACTACAGTGCACTGTTTTAACAGGCTTTTCCCAGCCATTAGTTACAACTGGCTTTTTAAAAATGTACTTATTTTCTGTGTATGAGTGTTTGCCTGCATATATGTCTATGTACCACATGCACACAGTGCCCCCAGAAACCTAGAACTGAACTTACTGACAGATGTAAACTGCCACATCCATGCCTGGACACAAACCTGAGTCCTCTGCATGAGCAGCAACACTCTTTTTTTTTTTTTTAAAGATTTATTTATTTATTATGTATACAGTATTCTCAGTACTCTGCCTGCAGGCCAGAAGAGGGCACAGATCTCATTACAGATGGTTGTGAGCCACCATGTGGTTGCTGGGAATTGAACTCAGGACCTTTGGAAGAGCAGGCGGTGCTCTTAACCACTGAGCCATCTCTCCAGCCCGAGCAGCAACACTCTTAACCACCCCAGCCACCTCTCCAACTTAGCACTATTCTTCCCTGTGCCCCAATTTATAAACTCTGTCACGGTTATTTCTGAGTAGGAAAAACACAGTACATACAGGATCCAGTACAACTCAGGTCCAGGCATCCATTGAGCAGCCTCAGAAAGTATCCCCCAAAGAAACAGGAACACTGTACACAAAACCCTCAATACCCAAATAATGTATATTAAACCACTCTAAAAGAACCAACTCACTTCTACACTAGTCAGGCTTGAGCTGGGTATGGTGGCACACGACAGGGATCCTAGCACTCAGGAGGCTCAGATGGGAACCCAGGCCAGTGTCAGATACGGGGCAAGACTTGTTTAGTACTAAACACACAAGGTCCTTCCTGGATTCGATATCAACACCACAATAAATAAGTTGTGTGTGTGTGTGTGTGTGTGTGTATGTATACATGTTTATACACATCTACACAAACATACATAAGGCTGACAGGTTCTTTATTGAAAATAGAGCTATTCCTCTTCCAAACTCTGCTACAAAGAAGGAAAGAATGGAATGCTGGCCTGGCTTCCTCGGCCAGTATGGCTCCTAACGAGAGATGACATACCCCGCAGAACCCTGCAGTCTCCCTGGAGACAGGACCTCTAACAGTAACATAATGTTTCGGCAAAGTGGTTTGTGAGCCATTCTCTGTGTAATATGTTCAGACTTTCTACACACTTGGGATGACTCCACGTTCCCTTGAAAAGAAAAGGCTTGGGAATTTGGCTTTGCCTACGCAGCAAGGAACTAAACCAAAGCAGGCCATTACGCCTCAAGGTACCACAGCACTCAGGGCTCCGGGAAAGCAAAGTGGAGAGGGCACTAGGCCACAGGAGGCCACCACTGCCTCAGACAGTACTCTTTATAGGCTGAGATCGCCTGAGTACCAAGCCACCAGCGATGCCAGCTCAGGCTGATACCAGGTACGGACAAAACCTTCAGCAAGAAGACTGCCCCTGCCCCGGCTCCCAAGACTCCTGTGCCTAATGCCCCTGCTCCTCACCCTACATTTCGTGACCAGCCAGGTTCTGTGACCTACTCTTGTACCTGTCCTGAACCCTGATTCCATCTTCATCCAGGTCCCCACCCAGGCCTGTCCCAGTCCAGAGCTCGGGCCACATCCCATCCCCCAACCCCTGACCCTTGTCCCAGCCTCGCCCAGGTCAGCTGCCCTCTGCCCCAGTCTTTTTCCCTACTCCGTCCCCACCTGTTGTCCCACAAGGTCCCCACCCTCGTCCGTTCCGTTCGGGTCCCCACCCACTGCCGGATTCCCCAGGCTCGGCCCAGCGACCGCAGCGCACCGTGCGGCCCTGCAGCTTCCCGCCGCCCCCCACGGGCTGGGCACCTGCTTCGACTTGGCCTGTGCGGCCGTGGGGCCCTTCTTGCGCAGCACCGTCACGGTGTCCCAGTCGCTCTCGGCCATGGCGCGGCGGGGGCGGCGGTCCGTCCGGCGGCTCTGGCTCTGGCAGCTGCTCGAGACCCGGCGCGGCGACGCGACGTGCCTTCGTCGCCTCCCCGCTTCCGGCGCTTGTGCCGCGGTCCCGCCCCTGGCTCCCATTGGTCGGTGGTCCCAGGGGCCGCCACTTCCCGAGCTCCACGGCCAATCGGAGCCCGGCTAGTCCAGGGCCCCTTCGGGTCCGCCCACGGGCGGCGCATGGAGGACGACGTCTGATCTTCGCTGCTGATGTAGACCAGTGTCTGTGGGGATGCGAGGGGCAGAACACCAGGGACGGGAGGGACGTGGGGGCCGAAGGGAGCGGAGAGGGACCTTAGAGAAGAGAAGAGCAGGGGGGACCTGGAGAGGAGAGGGAAGGACCTAAGAAAGTGGGGGACCCGGACAGGAGAGGAGTGGGGGCCCAAGCTGGAGAGGAGAGTGGGGCACCTGGACAGGAGAGGGAAGGGAAAGGGAAAGGGGAGAACCTGAGAAAAGAGTAGGGACCTGTAGGGGAGCTGGGGGCGGAGGGAAGGAGCGGAGCACGCGAATCTGAGAAGAGTGGGGGACTGGGCGGAGAGGGGCGCAGGCGACGCCCTATCCCTCATGCTAGCACAGGTGGTGTTCTAGTGGAGAGAAGGGAGTACAGAGCCTACTGATCCCAGCGGGTCTCCCCTACATCCCGAGCAACCTGTGCCAGTGTCCCCCACACTGGTCAGTACCCTGGTAACACGTGTCTTCCCGTCCACGCCTTGGGACCGAGTCCTGAGATAGGTTCAGACTGTTGTGCTGTAGCTTTGGACTGTACCTGCAGTTTGAAGTTCCGTTCCTTTGGAGGTGTGCTGGGGGCGGGGGGGGGGGGGGGGGGGGGGGGGGGGGGGGGGGGGGGGGGGGGGGGCAGGGGGGTAGGGGAGGACAGCAGTTGGCAAATTTCGTGAGGCCTGAACGTGTGAACCCTAGATGGCTTTCTTTGGAGTACAGGAAAACAAATTAGTTTAAAAGTAAAAGCTCATCATGACGGTTGTTCTGCACTCCTTTAATCCCAGCCCTTGACAAGCAGAAGCAGACGGGTTTCTATGAGTTTGGGGCCAGTCTGGTCTACATAGCAAATAAAAGAGGATAGCCAAGACTACACAGAGGAATCCTGTCTCGAAATAAAGATAAAAATAAACAACTCACCTTTGTAACACCAGTACTTGGAGGTGGAGACAGGAGGATCAAAAGTTCAAGGTTCTCTTTAGCAAGTTTGGGGCCACCAGGGCTACACGAAACCCTGCTTGGGGGAGACAAAAATGGTTATAGAGGGGCTTAAGTGATTAAGAGCATTTGCTGCTTTGCTGAGGACCCAAGAACACCCACATCAGGTTGTAACTCCAACTCCAGAGGGATAGATGCCCTCTTCTGGCCTCCTAGGGCACCAGGCACACGTGGTATGCAGACACGTGTAAAGGCAAACCGCCTATACACATGAAAACACACACATTGGTGGGGGTGACGTTTTGTCTTTTTTGAGATGGGCTCACTGTGTACTGGCCTGGAGCTCGCTGTGTAGACTAGGCTGGCCTGGAATTCATAGAGCTCTGCCTTCTTCTGCCTCCCAACTGCTGGGATTAAAAGCATGTGCCATCACTCTGGGTACCAAAAATAAATAAAACACTTTTAAAATTTAAAAATGAGGAGATGGCTTGGCAGTTAAGAGCACTGACTACCCTTCCAGAAGACTTGGATTCAATTCTCAGCACCCACAAGGTGGCTCAGGCATCTATAACTATAAGGGATCTGTACCTTCTGGCCACCACAGACACTGCATACATATGCATAGACATTCAAGCGGACAAAATATAAATATGAAAGGCTTAAAAATTGTTTTTTTTGAGACAGGGTCTCACTATATAACTTTGGCTGGCTTGGAACTTGATATGTAGACCAGGCTAGCCTCAAAAATCACACATCCATGTCTGGGGAGACCAGAAGAGAGCATCAGATCCCCTGGAAGTGGAGTTTGATTTGAGAGAGTTGTAAGAGGCTGGGTGTGGTACCCCACACCTTTAATCCCAGCACTTGGGAGGCAGATAGATCTCTGGGAGTTCCAGGCCAGCCAGGGAACACAGTGAGAGCCTGTCTTAAAAAATAAATTATGATAATAATAGAAATATAAATTGTACACATTTCTTTGTTTTTGCTTGCTGTTTTCAGCTGTGTTCACTCTGATTGCCTTGTCACATTTTTTTTTTTTTTTTTGTGGAACTGTTTTCTAAAAAGAATAGAGGGGACTGGAGAGACGGCTCAGAGGTTAAGAGCACTGGCTGCTCTCCCAGAGGCCCTGAGTTCAATTCCCGGCAACCACATGGCAGCTCACAACTATCAATAATAAGGTTTGGTGTCCTCTTCTGGTATGTAGGTATACATGCCAGAACACTGTATACATAATAAATATTTTTTGGAAAAGAATAGAAAGACGACTCAGTCATTTTCCTAGTGTTTGATCACGTTTCTCCATCATTATCAGCGTTAGCTTGAGAAAGCTCCAAGACTTCTCACTGATGAACTCACTGGTAGCAGATACAACAGATTTGGTCCCTGTCCTAGGGTTTCTATTGCTGCACCAAAACACATGACCAAAAAGCAAGTTGGAGAGGAAAGGGTTTATTTCCAGATCACAGAACCATCGTCGAAGGAAGTCAGAACAGGAACTCAAGCAGAACAGGAACTCAAGCAGAGCAGGAACCTGGAGGCAGGAGCTGATGCAGAGGCCATGGAGGGGAGCTGCATACTGGCTTACTTCTCCTGGCTTGCTCAACTCAGCCCACCTTCTAGAACCCAGGAACACCTGCCCATCACTTGCCATGGTCTGGGGCCCTCCCCATTGATCCTTAACTGAGAAAACGCCTTACAGCTGGGGGCATTTCCTCAAATGAGGCCCCTTCTCTGATGACTTTAGCTTATATCAAGTTGATACACAAAACTAGCCAGCACGGTTCCTGAAACTAGAATTTTGGTAAATACGAGTCCATTCATGAATGAAAAACATCCACAGTGGCGTAAGCTGTACTTGCATCTTTTGATGAGAGATTTTTGTCTGCTTTGTGTGGGGACAAGGTCTCACTTTGTAGCTCAGTCTGGCCTCCTCCTCTCAGCCTCTTGAGTGATGGGAACCCAGGTGAGTGCCTGGCTGGTGAGAGTGTTTTTCTTTTACATTATTTTGTGTGTGCACTCGTGTGTGGGTGGAGGGCCACACACGAGTAATGTGAGCCACTTCCAACGACAGCTCTGGAGAGTCGGTTCTCTTCCACCGCGTGGATTCTGGAGCCAAAACTTAGGTCATCGAGCTTGGCAGCAGACATTTTACCCTCTCACCAGCCTGAGAGTTCTAATTCTCTTCCGTTGCGGGTGGTTTCAATTCTGTTGACATCTTGCAGCCTTCATGACTGATTGGGAAAGACTGAGCACTGGCCTGGCAGGTGCAAAGTCCTTTCTCCTTCACTTCTAGCTGACTTTTTTTTTTTTAGATATTTATTTATTATGTAGACAATGTTCTGTCTGTGTGTATGCCCACAGGCCAGAGGAGGGCACCAGACCCCATTACAGATGGTTGTGAGCCACCATGTGGTTGCTGGGAATTGAACTCAGGACCTCTGGAAGAGCAGGCGATGCTCTTAACCTCTGAGCCATCTCTCCAGCCCCACTTCTAGCTGACTTAAGTGTCCAGGCATCCTCAGAAGACATTCCTGTTCATAAACATCTTAACCCATTCCTCTTATTTTGTAAGCTACAAATGCACAGTTGTTCCAACCTGTTTGGCTCCCAGAGAGTGAAACGAGAGAGGGGTCCATCTAGATGCCTGACACGGGCCGTAATCTAAGGCATTGTCAGCACCGTATCTGGGTCTGATGTGCATGAACTCTTTACGAGGCATCCCAGGCCGTGGGTGTGAGCTCTGCAGGGACAGCTGAGCCAGACCCACGGTGTATCCGCTCCGGCTAGCTTGGGCTTGAAGAGGGACCCCTCCATCGCCTGCCATTGGTCAACGGACCCATTATCCCACATGGCTATCATCAGGAATCCAGCCCTGGTGTCTCCTGCCCAGTCCTTGCCCCCCAACCCTCTGGGCTCAGAGAGATGCCATGAGGCTGCCCTCCTTTTCTCTCTGTGGAGTCACCAGGCACTTTCAGTCCCAGTCAGGGTCTTCCGGTGTGTTCCAGGCTCAGAGGTTGCTACTCTGGAGAGAAGCCTCAGCAGTGAGCATGGTAAACTATCTCCAGAGACAGTGAGTCCTCTGTTCGCGTATTTAACATGAGTGGCCTGCCTGCATTAGCCACTTTGTCATCACACATTTCTGTAGCCTGCAGGAACACAAGTTAAAGATGGCGGTTTATTTCTTCCTTTCAGGATCTGAGTCCTCTCCAACCTCATCTCTTCAGCCCAAATACCCGCCCTCCCTTCCTGTTTTCTGCTTTGTTTTGTTTTAAGTCAGGCAAACACTGGAGCTCTTCCTTAGTTGCTTCCTTCCATACTGTTTGATGCACAGTCTCTGACTGAACCTGGGGCTCCAATGGACTGGGGTTGTAAGCGTCCAGCGCCTACATGGCCGCTAGGGATCCGAACTCAGGTCCTCAGACTTGCATGGCAGCCACTTTACTGAATGAATCTCTCCAGTCCGCTGTCCCTCTTTTCTTCCTTTCTTCCCCCTCCCTCCTATTAAGCCAAACCCTAGGACAAAATGTATATTTTGTGTTAATATGTAAGATTTTTGTGTTATGTTATTATATAATATCTTAAAATAATCTTGTGTGGGAAAAGTCAGTATATTTTTTAAAAAGGATACCAAAGCATTACAAAATGTAGAAAGATAATTTTATGAATAGGAGTGAGATACAGCTCAGTAAACTGGAAGCCATTTTTTAAGAAAAAAATCTATAAAGATTTTAATTTATTTTGAGACAGAAATCACTATGTATGTCTGGCTGTCCTGGAACTCACAGTGATTCACCTGCCTCTGTGGCAGGCTTTTTCTTCTGGGCCACCAACCAGCTCCCAAACCACAACATGGAGACATTATTAGTTTTGAATGCTCGGACAGCTTATGCTCATTTCTGGCTAACTCTTTTTAACTTAAATTAACCTGTTTCTCTT